TAGTTTAGTTATGATGTAAATACAATAAAAATTAAACCAAGATTTAGATTAGAATAATTTATCATTTTGATCCATATGGTAATGTGTGACAGGACCTCGTGTCACTTTGTGTTCAACAAATTGGGCCCTGAGGTCAAAAATGTTAAGAACCCCTGATTTAAGGGATACAATAAAAACAAAATCAAACAGTTAAATCACCAGTCAGTCATGTAAGCACACATCCTGTGTTCCTGCTTCTTACCTGGCAACCTTCCTGCAGCCAGAGCATCTCCTGGCAGGTGTCCGTTCACGCCGTTGGACGGCAGGTTGGCCATGTGACCCAGCATCCCGCTGCGCATTTCCAGGTCGGTGGGATAAGGTCTGCGTGGATCACCTGAGACCAGCATCAGTGTGAAGGGTTAGTGAAGCCAAACGGGCCCTGCAGAACAGCTGCTGCAGTGACTCTGCTCCATACCTGGCAGCCAGTTGAGCGGTGCACACACTGCGTTACTGGCACTGATCCTGTGAGCGTATTTGATGATTTCCTCCGACGAGATGCTTCCTGCAAAAACACAACCGATCCACTTCATGAAAATCCACCCGACATGACTTCACTTCACGCTGAGCAGGAGGTGCAGCTCACCTTTCCTGGCTTTGTCAATGGTTTTCAGCTTCTCTTTTGCCTGATAAACAGCAGTGGCCTTAAAATCAAACAGACAGAACACATTTACATTTGAACAACTCAAAGTCATACAGGAAAAATTCACACAGCTTTATCAACAACATTACAACAGAATGAGGTCTGCCACCAGAGCTGTTAAAGTAACTAAGTACAAATACTTCTTTACTGTACTTAAAGTGTATCTTACCCCCCTGTGAAAAGATAACTCCACCCCAAGGCGAAATTTGCAAAATGCATCAAAATGAGTAGGGAAGGGGGGTTAGAGAGCGGAGGTCTGGCCAGGACGAGAGAACGTGACAGGCAGCTAGCATTAGCATAATTGATGCTACATGGAGAGTGACCACAGTATCGAACAGAGGAGTTGGAGCGCTCCGACAGCCTGACATAAAAAAAAAAAGGCATACAGCTGCATCTGCTCACAAGATCACTAGTTTAAAACATGAATAAAAGTGTTGGGTCTTGTTTGACTGAAGTTCGGTCAGGCTCATACATGTCAATCTCTTTGGACATTTACCTGTATAAAGAGCCCTAAAAATCCATAAATGTCGCAAAAAAATCCTTACAACTCACTGTGCAGGATGTACTGCTGGCGTGTGTGTGTGTGTGTGTGTGTGTGTGTGTGTGTGTGTGTGTGTGTGTGTTTACTCTCCTGGTCCAGTTGTTTACCTGTCATCAGACGTCACCTGGTTCTGAACAGG